ATAAACATCGATAATTTTTTTACAACCTCTGTTCTCTCACATTTTAATAAACTTATAAATTTACATATGTTTGGTTCACTGTAATAGTATTTTGGTAAGTATTTTATTGTTAGTTCTAAATATAATGGACATCTGATAAGGAAGTGGTACTCGTCTTCTATTTCATTTAAGTTACACATGTTACATTTTCTTTGTTCTCGTGGGGTATTTATATATATATATATATATATATATATATATATATATATATATATATATATATATATATATATATATATATATATATATATGTATATATGTATATATATATATGCCTGTTTCAATATGTAGATCATGCGACAGTGTTTATTTGATAATGCTTATGAAACATTCCATGATTGTAAATAAATATCTTTTAGTTTTGTTTCAGTGACTGGATAAACTCAGCAGTATTATTGACCCGTTGATCATACCAAACATTACCAAAACCAGATTCAAATAAGAGTTCTCTTACAGCAGTTGCCGAGTTTCTTTTACCATTTGAATCAAACAACAATAACATATTATAACACTTTTTTGGAAATCTATACAAAGGCATATTTAAAATTCTTAACCAATATTTGATAACTTTAATATATGCAAAAATATAGAGTGGATAGCGACCACAATCACCATAAACCATAACCCCGGGTGTATTAACTTTTACACCGAAATAGTTCTTACATGCATACAAGTGAATCTTTTCTATAGCATCTACTTTTGAGAGTCCCCAAATCTCTGCACCATACAATAAAATTGGAGTTATTTTTGCATCAAAAAATTTGAAAAGTGTATTATAATCAAAGTTTAGACCACATGCATTTCGTTGTATACCAATGAATACCTTTTGAGCTTGTAAGGATTCTTGGCTTACATGATATGTCCATGAAAGACGGTTAGTAAAATACACTCCTAAATATTTATAAAAACTTGTTATCTCCAATTGGTTACCTTTATAGTACCATTTTTCATATTTTGATAAATTACCGCCGTTTTTAAATACAACAATTTTTGTTTTATTTCTATTTACATTCAATTTCCATTCATCACAATACTTTTCTAACTCATTAATTTGTGACTGTAGACCTTTGATAGTACTTGAAAATAGTGCAATATCGTCTGCAAACAAAACTAAAAACAATTGTATTTCTTCTGGGTGTAGTTGAATTCCATAGGAACAATTATTATATATTTTCATTGCAAATTCATTGAAGAAAAACAAAAACAGGAACGGGCTGAAGATACAACCCTGTCGTACTCCTAAATGACTTGAAAATGTATGAGAAATAACTTGGTTATTTCTAACACAGACTTTTATATTTTCATAACTGCTACATAACAATTTAACATTGAATGCAGTTTTAAACGAACATCTGAATTTTTTTTGTTTTTAAGAAACAAAAGTTGGACAAGATAATTTTGTTTGTTTCTAAATTTGTCTGCAATGATGATGGTATTGTTGAAATCCCCGTGATGAAGCACAAGTAGTAAATACAAACTTTGTAGGTTTAAAGCTTTTTCGGCTTTGTTTCAGCATATCTGAATGGAGTTAATTGTACATTGTTCTTCATTTGGCTTTGCTTGAAAAAAATTGGTTGTAAATTTACACTTGCAAATCAAACTGTAAACTGACAAAAAAAACTTATTGAAATTTTTTAAAAACTAAAGTAATAATATTTTTCAATGTGTTATCAGGTGTGTATGCCCCTTTTGTGTGTACTTGCACGCACGCACGCACAAACTCCAGTGATTTTTGTACTACCGAGACTTTTATATTAGCCAACCGGCGTTAAACGCCCAGTGTTAAACAAAAATTGTAATCATTGCATTTTGAGTTTTTCAAGCAGCTAATGTTACTTATATGATAGATGTATATGATAGATGTAGTGTTAAGGTAAATAAAGCCAACCCGTATTCAAGCTTGTATTAAATAATCCAATAGTGGTATGACTGTTTATGCAAAATATATAATAATCAATGATAGATTATCAAAACATATTATTTGAAAATATTTCAACTGATAAATAAATGGACGATTCTAAAAATAGAAATGGAGACAAAACAGTGTGGATTTTTAAGAAATGTCCGAAATTCTTTGCTATTTTGTTTTTTTAAAAAGACACCTTCGAGAGGGGCACGAGTCTACATAGGTACTGTCCGGGAATGGCACACGTGTGTCACGAACGGTTTTCCTTTGTAAATGTCTAACTTTTGTAAATGTCTATTCTTATCGATTTTGACCAGAGCATGTATGTTAAAGGCATACCTAACATACAATTAGGTGTGCGGTAAGATAGATACGTTGTCCACCGGTCCTGATTTGTCCGCTTCCTAGCTTATCACTGGAACTGGTGGGCGGTCCGGTAGCCTAGTGGTTAAAGCATTCGCTCGTCACGACGAAGACCCGGGTTTGATTCCCGACATGGGTACAATGTGTGACTAAGTTAAATATGACTACGTTCTGTTTGACAATGTTCTGCATGACAACGTTCTGTCTACGTTGTGTCTGACAAAGTTCTGTCTACGCTCTTCCTGACAACGTTCTGTCTACGTTCTGCCTGACAACGTCCTGTCTACGTTCTGCCTGACAACGTTCTGTCTACGTTCTGCCTGACAACGTTCTGTCTACGTTCTGCCTGACAACGTTCTGTCTATGTTGTACCTGACAACGTTCTGTCTATGTTGTACCTGACAACGTTCTGTCTATGTTCTGCATGACAACGTTCTGTCTGCGTTCTGCCTGACAACGTGAACATAACGCTTAAAAAAACATATTCTAACGAAATATCTGCCAAGGGGCAAAACGATTGTACGTTTTAGACTACATGAGCTTGTGGTTCTGAATCACTGTTACATTGTGATGATACCAGGCGTTCGTGGGAAGGTGAATGTATCCTGCCCCTGCACTGGAACCCGTCACAAACATGTAAAGGTAGTTGTTCGACTGCGAAAACACGGGAATATATGTACAATGGGGAATTGCATCGGACATCATTTCTGTCAATGGTGAGACAAATTTGGAAATATCCTCCAATGTCCACCCAATAAAGTGTTCTAAAGCTTCACTGTCATAGCATTGAAGACCTTAGAAATAGGAATAACCGTAAACCTTTCATGTATGGCAGCCAAACGTTGCATGACAACTGGCTAAGACAGAATGGGTTGTTTGAGATTTTCTCTTTATCCAGTCAGTGCATTCTAACAATGACATCACTCAGAAAAACATTAAACAGTATCATTTGGCCCATTTTGTGAAATACGTTTTGAAAGCATTATTATTTTAAAGGCGTGATCCTAATTGGTGACGGGATGTTCAGGATATATTGGGCCGTATTTCAGTAACTGACGGATTGTGTTATTGTCAACCTAGATTAAATGTCTTGGCACCACAAATAGTGATCAATTAATCGGTCTTTGATTTACACTCCTTACTCTTATTCTTGACATTTTGGATATAAACAGAAGAAGATGAGAATGAAGAGAATGAAATGCTTGATCTCAGTCAGGTGAATACTTTTGGTACCATTCAAAAGTAGATGCAAAAGCTATCCTGAAAAAGGGCCAACAGGACAACTATCATTTATGATGATATGATATACTTGTACACACGGAATTTGTCCTATTTACAGGAGGCTAAGTATATGTTATCCAGATGTACTTTGTGTATCTTGATTCCTTCATCTGCACTTTCTACTTTTTTGTCAGTGAGTCTGTCACTCACGTTTTTATTGTTATAGTCCGCTAGTCATACTAAATAGCTATATAAATGCATACAGGTGGATCTACCTGTAAACTGGTCAAGGTTTCATAATTTCTCAGTTCCAGTGCCGATATAAATCTAAACGCACTAAATACATATAAGCTCATTTAATCCGAAAACGCAAAAGTTTTCTTTACACACACACACACACACACACACACACACACACACACACACACACACACACACACACACACACACGCACACACACACACACACATATATATATATATATATATATATATATATGATGAAGCATCAGACATTGTAATGGGTAACAAGAAGACGTTAATGAAGACGCACTATGTTAATAATAATGTTACAAAATAACGTACATGCATGTACATAAAATACATTGGATACTACCAACCACAACCGTTGTCAGGATAGGGCTTCTGTGCACGTGACACTATGATGGAACAACTGCCCATGTTTGTTTAATTTCAAATCAGGTGCATTGGTAATGGTACTTTACTGTAGTAAATTTACCAAATTAAATATATTCGAAAAAAAGGTATTTCCATGACAACAAAAGTAACATTATAAACTATGATGTGCATACACAGTTTAATGCAGAAATGACAGTTGACAGTTATACTATGAACTCCTAAACAAATTCCTACCTTAAACTCAACCTGCTGCCAGAAATCCCTGAATAGAACAAGATGCATTACTTTGCTGGGGATTATCAAAGTTTCCTATGTAACTGTTTATGGTTGGTTGGTTTGTTGTTTAATGCCGCACTCAGCAATATTCAAGCTATATGACTGCGGTAACTGTTTATGAGTAGAGCTCCGGAAAAGAGCTCTATCTACATTTGAACATTCCTTGCTAGACTAACGTGTCGCCTTGAAAACGAAAAAGTACAAATCTTAAAATGTCATCAGCAAATAGCACCAGGTCAGTACTTGATGGCAAGGTACACTGATGGAGAAACATGGAATAGTTTAAGGGTCGTGCTACTGAAGCGAACCTAGCCCTCTTTTGAAGTGAAGTCCACCTTTTTGCCTTGGAAACGAAAACAAAATCCCGAATGGCAAAAGACACCAGGTCAGCACTTGTCTGATGTGCAGGCTGAGTTTCAAATAGTTTGAATGGCCCATGAGGTCCGTACCAGAAACAGAAAGTGGGTAGAGGATAATATCATACTTCTACATTATTGTGAAATGGTAGCTTTGTTCGTAAGTTATGCGGAAAGTTCAAGCAAGAAAATGCCATTCACCTGAAAGAGCAATCTTCACGAACATCGCTAAAAACGTCCAGACTCTTGCTGTCGTCTCCATTCTTGATGGCCACACCTTCACTCGCTGTCAGCGGACTCAACTTTAGTTGCAGCCGTGTGCAGGCGCCAGTGAGAAATCGCGAATGTGCCGTGTAGAACAACGACTTCCTTCACTTAAATAACGCGTCTTCCCTGGAGAGTCTACTTTATTGTTCCAATAATCATAAAGAAATACTTGTTTAGTGAGATTCCTTTGCACTGTTCACTTAACGACATAGTAAATAGTTGAAGTGTTGATTTCCAACTGTTACAGATGGATACATAGATTAAATACAGATTCGGAACACTTGCGCACATTTCCAAAGGCACAAAATGAAAATACTGCGTTCAGCAACGACGAATTGACTGTTTGCAGTACTCATGGGTGCCCTGTAGGAAGACGAGTCAAGTTGCCATGTATGTTATCACATGCGCTTATGTGTGGTGACATTTATGTCTTTGGCGGACCTTTCCTAGCTCCCTTAAAACCTACAAACATAACATTCCATCAATCTCCTTCAAATATACAAACATAACGTAAAAACTATCCCCTTCGAGCATACATACATCGTGTTCTAACAATCTCCTTTGAGCATTCGCACATCGCGTCCTAACGATCCCCTTCAAACGTGCATACATGGCATTCATATGATCCCTCCAAACATACATACTTCGTGTTTTAACGATCCCCTAAAAACATACATACATCACGTGCAATACTACTGCCATTTACTTTAACTGAAATAGACAGGGGGCAGAATTCTGGAAATTTTATAACTCGCTTCTCAGGGACAAAGACTATGTAGCAATTGTCAAAAAAACAATATCGGAAACAATTTTACAATACAAGAACTATGACTCTACTGACAGTGAGTTTACGATAGACGACCAGATGTTTTTCGAAATTCTTTTCCTGCAGATAAGGGGCGAGACTATTAAATATTCATCTTATAAAAAGCGCCAACGAGAAAGAGATGAAACTGAACTCATATCTAAGATTAATCAGTTAACCGAGGAAATGGATGAGACTAACGACATTGAAGCCAAATCTAAGATACTAAAGGAAATTGATGCGATAAATGAAAAATTAGAATATATTAATAAGATCAAAACGCAAGGGCTTATGATAAGGGCAAAAGTAAACGCAGTCGAAAAGGGGGAAAAACCAACCAAATATTTCTTATCGTTAGAGTCTAGAAATTTCCTTAATAAAATCTTTCTCTTGTCTGCAAAACGAGTATGGAGATGTCTTAACAAATCAACAGGAAATTCAAAAAGAAATTAGAAAATTCTATTCCAAACTCTATCATAAGAAAAATGATGTTAGTAATGTTGATCTTGAAAATTTATTGAAGGATTGTATTGTGCCTAAGCTGGATAAAAACTTATCATCATCACTAGAAGGCAAACTTGACTATGAAGAACTACTTGCAGCACAGAAGTGTTTGAAAAATGATAAAAGTCCCGGTTCCGATGGTTTTACTGCTGAATTTCTTTAAAAATTTGGTCAGATATCAACAATTCTTTAATCCGATCTATAAATCAATCATATGATAAAGGTGAGTTGTCCATAACTCTAAAAAGGGGACTTATTACTTGCATTCCAAAAGGTAACAAACCAAAAATGTTTTAAAAAAACTGAAGACCTATCTCACTTTTATCAGTTTTTTACAAAAAAGCTTCCCTTGCTATCTCCAAAAGAATTAAATCTGTGCTCCATATATTAATTAGCGACGACCAAAATGGCTTTATGTCTGGTAGGTACATCGGCGAGATAACGAGATTAATTTATGACCTTATGGAATACACAGAATCACACCAAATTCCTGGACTACTTCTACTAATCGACTTTGAAAAGGCATTCGATACAGTTGACTGGTCCTTCATAGATAAGACACTAGCTTTTTTCAATTTTGGACGATCAATACGTTCGTGGTTCATGACATTATATAACGGGATAGAATCCAGTGTACTTGTAAATGGTTATGGTTCGCCTATGTTTGATATACAAAGGGGATGTCGTCAGGATGATCCACTCTCTCCATACATATTTATTCTCTCTGCAGAGATTCTTGCCATAATGATAAAAAAATAAAAAATATCAAAGGGGTAACAATAGACAATGTAGAATTTCTAATCAATCAATTTGCAGACGATACAACATGTATTTTAGACGGTTCCGAACAATGTCTCTGCTGTGTTTAATGTACATGTATTAAACGTCTTTGCCAGATTTTCCGGTCTAAAAGTTAATATTGAAAAAACGCGTCTCATATGGATTGGATCAAAAAAACGCTCAAAAATGAAATTATGCCCTCAACTTAATCTCAGTTGGGACCAAAGTGACTTTGACCTTCTAGGAATTACATTTGCCCAGGATTTTGATGATATGATAGTAACAAAGTATAAAGAAAAGATTAGAATATGTGAACGGTTAATGTCTATTTGGTCAGCCCGCAACCTTACTCCCCTTGGCAGAAACACGATTTTAAAATCGTTAATTATTCCTAAGCTATTACTTATTCAGCTCACTACCAAATCCAAACACTGATGTTGTTAATGCGTTTCAAAGAAATTGTTTTAAGTTTATCTGGAAGAATAAGCGTGACAAAATTAAGAGAAACCAAATCATTTGTGAAAAAAGGGATGGAGGGTTCAATGTCCCTAACATTAAAGCAACAATCCAGGCTAAAAAAATATCAATGATAAGACGCTTTCTTACTTCGAAATCCAAGTGGAGTTATCTATTTAATCTTAATATTCCCAAGTTGCCGGTAGGTGCAGGCAGTATATTAGAATATAACTGTAACTACTTAAGAAATAAACTACTACCACTTACCCCTAACAATTACTACAAAGATATTTTGACTGCCTGGTTGGATTTAAACGCTCAACTCAAACATAACGCAAATCATTTACTGGCCGATAATATCTGGTTTAACAGTAATATATGTATTGGGCGTAAGCCCGTCTTTTATAGCACCTGGAATCAAAAGGGGGTACGTTTCATAAATGACCTCCTTGACAAAGATGGAAAATTTCCGTCGTTTGACAACTTTTCAAAATCTTTCGAGATAAAAACGAACTTCTTACTATATAACGGCCTTATCGTGGCCATTAAACGCTATTTCGAGGCAAGTAATGTTGAACTAGAAGAATTGAACAAGTTGCAAAATCCAATTATACCCCCAAGTATCGAAAATGTGCTTAAATTTGCAAATGGATCGAAATGCTTCTACAACTTACTAATTTCAGATATCACTACAAAAAATGTACACTGTACGAAATGGGAAAAGAATATTCTAAAGGATGATTCAATTGATAACTTGTCCCAATACAATAGAATGCCTTTTCGATGTACGAGAGACACTAAACTGCAATGGCTCCAATACAAAATACTTCATCATATACTTCCGACTAATGTCCTCTTGTGTAAACTAGGTTATGTTGAACGTCGAAATTGCAGTTTTTGTTCAGTTGATATCGAGACCCCAATCCATCTTTTCTGGTCCTATAATATGGTTCACCAAATCTGGCGTCAACTTGAAGTTTGGCTACTTCAAAAGGCTAACATCCAAATCGAAATTACAAAGAAACATGTGATGATTGGTTTTCCAGAAAAGCGCAATGACCCTCTAAATATCATCTTTTTGATAACAAAAGATCTTATATTTAATAGCAAGTTAAATAAGAGACTCCCGTCATTTCAAGTCTTTCAGATCGAAATAAGAAACTGATACACCCTTACTAAATGTTCAGCGATTATTGAGTGTGACATTGGCTTATGCTATTAATTTTGGTCAACTTGCCATCATCTATTTAGATGATTAATCAACTATGTACTGGAATGTCACATTTTATGAAATAAATGTAAAATGATTGAAAAAATAAAAAACTATTAAAAAATACTACTGCACTAGTCAGAATGCCCCCAATCGTCCCCCCTACCAACCGTACATCACGAACCATGCTGTGTGGCTTTTGCCTGGAATGTCTCCTGTGGGTCTCTAGTCAATTGCTTCCATCCAATCAACTCTACATATCAATTAGCAGTTCCTCTTAATTATAAAAGCACGCTAATTGTTACGGTAACACATGAATAGACCCGATTGTCGCCTGTTTAATTGCATTCGGTTAATTGCTCCCACGACTTCATTGTAAAAATACTTTCTTTAAATAGTACGCTTTACCAGGCACGGCCATGGATGCTTTTTTACGAGATAAAATCTAGGTTTATTAAGTGACCCCGACTTGCATACCTTTACCGAGAGAGGTATACGTGTGTAACGGCCCGTTTTGACTAGGCCCATTTTGACTAACCGATCCACAATTTTATTTCAACCCACTTTCTGCGGGCCACTTTACCAGTTGATACAAAACTGTGAGAGGTTGCATGATTTATTCAATGTCAATTTCGTTTCCGTTTACCAATGCAACATTTTAATGTTCGGGCTACGATATCCGCCATTATGGATTGGTCACTTCGCTTTCAGCATGCTGTCGGCTTGTTTAAATCAGAGACTCTCAGATAGCGTATTTTAGTCGCTGTTTATCATTATATATAATAAAATAATATTTATGAAAACGTTGCGAGATTTTTTAATTTTGATTAGAAAAATTGGTCCTCTACATACGTGAAGGTGCGGCAATGACAGGTCATCATTACGCCTAAGTCAATAATAAATACATGGTTGATTTTGACTCCAGCAAGGACGAGTCCTATTTGATGTATTATGACCTCACCAAGTTGTACGGGGTAGCCATGTCTACGCCAATACCCCATGGCAATTTTGGATGATTCTCGGAACAAGAGATAGGCACCATCGACTGGCTGTCACTCTATCCTCACAGTCCCCGCGCCATGCAAGTCTAATCACCGATGAAGATGCTTACATCAAAGAAGAAGCGTGCACCAATGATGAGGATGCTTAGTGCCTTTTTCTAGCCAACCATGAACAACGTTAAGGGATGTATCGCCGGTATCCAATATCCGTGCTCGTGGGTTTCACCAGAGTGGTAAACATCTGAGACCTGCATTACGTCGGCCTTTCCTCCCACAAGC